CCGTTCACTTAGAGTTTGTATACTCTTGGAAGTCAACCTTCCTCTGTGCAAGGTGCCGCGTGACCCGTCACATTCTCGGTTGGAGCCCGAGGTGTTATCCAAAAAGAATGGTAGCGGCGACTCTCTGACTTGCGAGCCGACACCTCCGCCATCTTCAAGAGACATACACCCAAGCCGGCCACTGACAAAGCGGCACGCTCAACGGCATACCCATCCTCTATACGCCTTCGCAAAACGTTCTTCTTCCCTACATCGCAAGTGTCGAGACACCGCGGCAAGAAATTTACAAAGACGTCTAGCTTATCTCTAATGAGCTAGACCTAAGTTGAAGAACTCAGATTGTCCGTTGCATGCGTGAGAGTCGCAACGACTGTTGCAGACTCTATCACGACGTGACGGTGAAGTCGCTTACCGCACCGAGGTGGAGCCTTGAAATCCATATGCGTCCGTACCTTCCGCTCAATAGAGAACGAAACATGCGCCCGAAACGCACTCCGAATCCGCCCCCACAGGTCACAAATTATCAGGGGTATTACCTACGCTTAGAGCATCAGTGATTGAGAAACCTCGTCTTCTTCACGAGGACTTTACGTTGGGATATGGACGCTGGCGAAAGTGCCGATAAATGTTGTCCTCAATTTGCGCACTTAGTGAAGATGTCACGTCGCCAGGTTTGTCTAATGGCTTCACAGGTCAGTTCAAGTGAAACAGACCTAAGATTTGAGCGTCGTTAAAGCTCGGTTGTCAAACGTGTAAGGCACAACCTGGACGTAGTTGAAAAATTATCATCGCCAAAAGGCCTGCTCATTATTATTGAGTATTGCTGGCACAATACGACATTCCGCGAGTGGCTACTGTACTCTCTTCGCCGTGTCAAAACATTGACAATTTCCGAGAGTACCGGTGTGCTTCCGATACTGAGATAGACCGGTCTAAAATGCACTCTCTGAGATATTTCATCGCACGGGTAGATTGAGGAACCCCAGCGGAACAGAACCATGTCGTTGCTCTAGAAACAGAAGTTAATTCATTATTGTGGCGTTGCATTGTCTCAAACAGAGCGCTTCTTAACCGGGTAGCGGGATCGTCATATGGTATTTGTAAGCCCTCATAGACAAAAATATGCTTTGACCTTTTCTTCTAGAACTAATCTTTTGTTGCTACATCAAAATATCACAGTAGATTAACTGCATCCTATAAATCTCTTACACACTATGAATTGATGTGCCTCCGGCATCCGATTCCTGCTTTTTAGTATCCTGGCTGCCGGGTAAACATCGCGTACTTGACGCATGATGCTAAATCCTCTTGGTGATTACTAGTAAGGTTCAGATTAAAGTTAGGCTAGTATCGGCGTGCTTATATGTATTGACAGCCCCCACCAAGTTAGATGACAATTTGTGAGGGTGGCAAAAAAAACACGGGGAAAATCAAACCATTTATTTAAATGAATCTACGTGTGTAAATTGATATCCAGCGCTACCTCAATAAATTGGAGAAAATCACTCCCACACCCAGTTCCAGGCACGCAAGTTCTTTGCAGGGTTTTCTTCATAACGTTATAAAAGCGTTCCATTTGACCATTAATGCATTATCATTGAAATACCTAAGTCGAAACCGAGCACCTTATACAAAATGTGTACACTGCTGTGGTAAAGTGTGATTTACTAACCGATACAACAACCATCGGCAAACAATGTAGGAGGATAAATTTGTTGTGGAACAGCGTAGCAGTGTCTTCAACAATAATAGTATTGCTGATAGTGGCAACACACGCCATACATGCCATACACGCCATCCAGCTCGGACAGTTCACATAGACCGCAATGGTGGTACAACCAGGATCAGTCTTTGAACTGTCGATCGACTGCCAACACACGTTCGAAAGGACAGATGTGCCAAAGCACAGATGCCAGCGACTAGGCTTTAGCCCATTCGCACAGGTCCCACGATATATACTTAAGCTGATATGTTGGACCACCCGCACATAGCTATAATCAGGCTGTATGTTTTTTTGATTCCAAGTTGGCCATCAGAAAAAGTATGATAAACCTCGTAAAAATTCTATTCAGTGACCATCGCAAGTTTCGACAACACATTGATTGTCAAGTGGGTTCGTAGTGGGTTCTGCGGTATGATTTGGCGTATCAAATCAGTAGTGATATATATGCTGCGACTGACCTGTACACTGTATGTTCGTGTCTACTAATCAATTAACGACTTATGTACGAGAATATATAGTCTGGGGTATGCGGAAGCACACTCACCACTCAATTTAGCGGATCAAATTCATACCTTGCCCCAAATATGCACTTCTGGATTTATAGAGAGATGTGGTTATGAAGTCGTTTTATGTGCTACGACGAATATGCTGTATGGATCAAAAATTGATAAGAGCCAAGCAGATGCACCCAAACATGATGAGGATACGTCACAGGAAAACATTTTCTATCTTTGTTGTGGATAGGGTAATTTTTTCATCTGTTTTCAGCTGGCAAGACCCAAACGCGATCAGTCGTTTATGCAAATTGGCATTTGCTGCAAGTAAATACCAGTCCATGACAAATGCTAAAGCATCCCAGACAAAAAAAATACTTGATCTGGATTAAGATTACTACTTTCATTTACAACCTTGAAGGACACACATTCTATTACACACAACAAAATGTCTTAGCATATTTGATGAGAATAGTGAGAGGTAAAAACCAAGTCGGCACATTATAATTTATACTGATCATAACAGCTGACTAGACAAAGGCACTCCTTCTATATCTTTTGGTGCAGAGGCACTGACAATCAAAAATGCCTTTTATCGTCGCGGAATCTGCCCGCAAGCCAAGCTTCCGCATTTTGTCGCCCCCAAAATACACTTATATTATTGGATAGCTCTTTTAGCGCCTACACTCGAGAACTGCGTGCAAGTGTTCGCTGTGTCTCTCCAAATACCGTACTTCGTATGTGTAGAAGCGAATATCGTTAAATAAGTATTATGTGGTATGAGCATGGGCGTCACCAGATGATTGAACGTTGTTGATGTTTAAGAAACAAGATATGGACTATATCAGTGCCGTTTCAATCATCTTACCCATAGTGCTCACCGCAATAGATAAGATATGACTGCATACCTTCTAAACTGAAAATATTAATTCTACAATTCATGATCACACTGAACAAAGAGCAGCCGACCATGCTGTTCTGCCGCAATTCCTTTCTAAAAATCGATGTTTGCGCTGAAATCGCCGCTTCTTTCAGCTTATTATTAGCATGCATAATTCGCAGTTTGGCAGTACCCTTTCTGACGCAGAAAGGTATCACAGAGTAGGCGTCGATGATATCGAATTGGTTGTTGGGAAGGTACATTGCCGTGCATGTAGTACATGCTTCCAAAGAATCAGTCTGTATCATGGCGCACTTCTCGATCCGAGGGCAATAATACGCGTATAACTTTTTGTCGCCACTTCGTAACATGCTTTTAACTATGTACGAGAGAGTCCATATATTGCTGGAATGTAGCTACACTGCTTCATGCGCTGATGCTCTAAACAGAGCCACCAATGAAGAAGTCCGTTTCATCAAATTGTATCTTTCCGGTGAATTGGTTGTCTTTTAGTTTACTTAAACACCACACATCAAAAGCTTTCGTCGTGGGAAATTATGAATCGTACAACCCCAAGGACTGCCGCTATCGTTTTAGTCTATTTGCGACTATTGAATTATGCTGGTTTACTCAATGGACGCATCACACATTGTGCATACTTAGCAGTGTCGAAACCTTGTGACAAAAATAAGTCATTTTTAACAGCATGAGATCATGGTCCGTGTATTTGTTACTTACAATCATCTTTCTCAACCGGTTCTGGCTAAAAAAAACTACGACACGAAGTCTAGCACTTGTTCGAACACAGCAAACAATGATACAGAACTGCTTTCACTGTCCGCCTGAACATCCATGATGTTTCGTTCGGTCGGGGATATACTATTCGGACCACGGAGAAGAACAATAGTAATTATCTCAGTAAGGACACGCTCAAAATGCATTCGGGTCAACGTTCTGTCTAAGTTTGGGACAAGGACTCATTTCCACTATTGATTTTGATCTCTGCTCCAGCTGCTTAGCAATACTTTTACTTGAATATAATAATCTCATGTCCTGAAACAAAGCCATAGTCAATTCGTGTCCGCGTCAAAAGCGCTTCTGCTTTCTGGCAGGAGTGGATCCATGACTGAGCAATGTCCACCAGTTGAGAAGTGCGATCTTCGGACCCTTTTCGCCTTCCTGTCAAATCAATGCCTTGTCACGCTCAAACCACGCGGTATTTATAATGTGGTCACATATATTTGGATATCGGCCCTATTTTAGATGTGGTGTAATGTGGATACGTGCTGTTGTTGTATTTGCCTTACTTTTAAGATCGAGCAAGATATGTCATTGACATGTACCTGGACTTCTTAAATGATCGTTTAATGCTACCAAAATTCTCCGACTTCACAAGTGCGCTCAACAGAATTGACTGGCGTCTTTGTTGCAAGATTCATGTATAATGTAATCGCGCTTGATGACTGCAGAGCAGCTCCGCAATCTCCGCAAAGCTTATATTAAAGGGAACCCAAATTATCTGCACTTGCAAAATGCTATCTCTCTTGGCTAGGGGTAAAAAGACCGTTCAACCTCGGAGTGTGACATCATTGGATGAGGTAACGAATGTTTTAATGTACTAATTAGTACATAATGATGGTTTATACTTAGAAATCTCCACTGGTGATGAGACCGACACGTTTATCCATCTGATTTCAGTGGCGCGAGCCAGTCACTTTGCGAGGAGCTTTCCGCAAAGATTTAGGCTCAAATTCTCCAGTTCCCTTGGATTCAACCCCGAGTGTACGAAGGTTATTTTTATAGATCAGGATTACGAGCTATATATATCTTGGAACGGGGTTACGCATACCCTGGTAACAGGGGTGTGTGTCACACCAGATGGGCATGGTGTGACTACACCCAAACAACAATACGGTACGGGGCAAGATAGCCAGTAGTTACACATGTATTCAGATTTTACTATACATATTTAGGAAAATCTATGCATTTAAAATTGGGCGGCTTTGCCGCAGATAAATATAAATAAAGTCAGTTTTGAATTTAAAATGAAGAATTAATTAGCCTTGGGTTAAGGCAATAATTACTCTTGGAGTAAGCGGATTGCGATCTGCTAACTCGTACTTGTTCTAAGTATAGAACGAAAGGTCGGTGACTTAAATGACGCTTCCTCTAAGCGCAAAGCTACGGCAGCCCCGCTGCACTTGGTAGCATTTGTAGTCAATCTACACTTGAGTCGTTTAGACTGATTCTCTGTGAGGATGGTACAATGTTCCTCTTTGCCCCTGGACATGCAGTACGGGTTCAACAAGCTGATGTCCTTGCTTGTCCCTGAGGGCGTCCAGCACCTTGCTGCGCAAGGCCCCGAGGCAACAGGTGCGTGTCTAGAAGCGTTTACAAGTTACGAAAACGCGCTGCTAGAGCACCAGCAGCAGAAGATGTCGGCATCATTTGCGTTAATGACGCCACCGTCAGTGACGAAAAATTTTCCCCGCCCTAAGCCGCTCACGGTGAGCGTTAAGATCTTCGAGGGAAAGGATGGAGAGAATCTCCTGCTTTGGGTGAGAGAGGTCGAGATGACCATCGCATCCGCCATGCTCCAGACCGAGCAAAAGCGCGTGGCGCTAGCCATCTTAAAGCTCGGTGGTCGAGCACGGGAATGGACACTGACGCGCGGCACTTCGGTCGAAGCTGCGTTTCCCTCCTGGACGGAGCTGAAATTGCAGCTCTCACTAGTGTTCTCGCCGCCCGACAGGGCAACAAGGAGTTGGTGGACGTTGTCCAAAAGATGCGTACTCTCATTGCAGGGATGGCAGCAGATCCCCTTCCTGAGGCGGTCACAGTGACCCTCTTTATGGAAGACCTCCGCACTGGCGTGACCAGAAGGGAAGTCTTCCGTGTGCATTCATCTTCATTTGAAGGGGCGATGAAAGTGGCATTGAGTGCCGAATATAGTTTCAG